ATCCTTGATACAAGAACGCCAACTTTGTTGTGCTCAGGCAGCTTTTATAGGGCTCTGGCCACGCCCCAGCCCTCAGGATCTTTCAGCTGCAGGCCTCACCAGAAACCATTCCCCTGCCATCAAAGTCTTCTGCTCAGAGTAGCTGCAGGCCACTAAGAGCAGGGGAAAACAAGTTGTTTACAAGAAATTCAGGATCTGGGGGTCCACAGCCCCCACAGGAACTAACTTTAGAAATGTAATCTAATGGTTTTTAGCAAGGGAGAAGGAAGGGAAAACAAGGGCCTGCCTAGGAATGGCATTGCCACCATTAAGTGGGCACACCTCTATTTATTAGTAATCATGAAAATGACCCCACACTCATACCCACTGACCAGTCTGATGGAGGCAATACCCAACTGAGGTTCTCTTTTCCCACGTGACAACCAAGCTTAGCCATCACCCAGGTCTCCATCTCACTGATGGCACATAATGACCTAACCTAGCTAAGACCCAGTCCCTCTGCATTTTTGTACTCTACTACTCCCTCTGTAAAGCGCCCCAGAGGGTGTCTGCGCTGCTTCTGAACACACTTTGCAGCTAATACGCCTGATCAGGCAAGAGGCCTGTAGCTTCTAGACCAGCTGGGGCTACATAGTGAGATCTTGTCTCTAAAATCAACATAGTTAAAAGTCCCACTGATGGACCCGGATGGGACTCAAACCATCAATAAATATTGATGAAAACATCAACAAGCAGCAACTTACCAGAATTCATTGATCCAAGACAACTTACTGTCTCTACCTCACAGATGTTGTACACATCAAAGACTCCATAGATGTATATAAATGGCAACGTGGGCATAAAAGTCACAGATTATGCTACTTAAAGACTTTAGTTGTCAATGACTGACATGGTTAGCCCTGCAAGTGGATCACCACCACTCTGACTCCTACAGGAATGAGGAGCTTCTGAGATATGCAAATGGCGATAATGAATGGATTTCCAGCACATTGGGTATTCCCCAGCTTAGTATCTGCAAGTAGACAAAACCACAAATAAGAGCCCACAGAAAGGGCCCTAAACCCTCCATCACTCAGAGTTTGAAAGTTGAGGTTCAAAAAGCAAGAAGGCAGGGAAGAGAAGGCACTGAACAGAGCCACCTATGAGAAAGGTGCAGATCGGGGTCCTTTGGTCACAGGTGATGAGGTGTGAAGGCGGGGAATTGACGGTTCAGACACTTAGAGCTGCAGGAGGTCAGGGGTGAGAAGGACACTAAGATTCAAGTGATTGGAGCAAACTGATCTCAGCACAGCAGGTCTGGGAGTCTTGAGGGGAAGAAATCTCTTGGGATTACTAAGAGCTGAAGAAAGAATGGGAGGCAAGGAGGTGGGCACTATGGGTGCCAAGGATGCTTCTGAGAAACATTGCAGTTAATTGAAGTTCTGAAATGGGTTGGCACAAAAAGTGGTCGCACCCCATAGTCATCAGCTGTCTCCAACAGCACACAATGCTGTGTATTCAGGAAGCCCCATGCATGTCTGTGAGGGCAGGTCATGCCTTGTGCTGATGACACTCCCATGCCATTTCTATCACAAGGAGAAGATGGGGTCTGGGGAAACTACAGTTCTGTCTCCCTCTGGCTAATGTACGCAGCAGCACAGTTGATACTCATTGATGGATCTAGCAATCTGTCTTCATCTCTTTAACACCCTAGCCGTGAGGCTAGTCTCTACATCACTAACCCTCTGAATTCAGCACAACAACATACATGGCCTCTTGGCTAGATGGGTAACCTTGTAAAAGACACTACCTCTCCAGGACTTATTTTACCTGTCTGTAAAATGGGTAAGATGACAAGTGTTTTCCTGCTAGGGAGAGTATGTTTATTGATTGGATGAGCAGCAATAAATACTGTGTTGAATGAATGATTAAGTGATGCCTTCAGAACCCTTCGTGGAAGGAGAGTGAGCAAGTATCTTATTATAATGAATGCTCTGCACGATCCTCTCCCTGTGGCCTGATGTGACTCTCTTCTCTTCATACAGACTCAACAACAGGACTCCAAGATGCACAGCCACCTGAGAATCCAAGCTCCTCCCAGAAGACGCTCACATTAGGGACACAGCGAGATCTGCATTATGCCCCCCTCACTTTTGTGGGGTGAGGCCTCAGCAGGAGCCGTCTCCCCAGGATTCAGAAACCTGCATACATTCAGGAACATTCAGGAGCACCCTCTCATCTGGAACACGTGTGCCCTCTCTCCCCAAGGGTGATTTCCACAGCCTTTCTCTTCCCAATAGGCAACAGGTTACACTGCCAAGTGTGAAGTTCACACTGCTGAAATTGTCTGACTTTGCAGTAAAGCACAAGTCTGTGCTCCTGCGTTTGTCAGCAGAGACACTACCTCCTCTGCGTCTTCATCTCCTGTTCCATCTATTTCTCCCCTCGTTGTCTCTGTGTCTCTGTCTCTGACTCTCTGTGTCTCTGTCATGTCTCTGTC